GATAATAAGCAGTAAGAACTGCATCAGCCCAAAACAGTTTTGGAACCTGCATATTAAATTACAAGGTTCGCGCAACATCCAACAAATGGTGGTGCTTTCGTTCAGCAACACCATTTTGTTGAGATGTGTGAGCATAACTAGTTTGATGTAGGATACCACGATCGACACAAAAGGAATCCATGATCGACTGTGTATATTCCAAAGCATTGTCAGATCGAAGAATTTTAATGCGTTTACCAAATTAAGTAAAAATTTCATTATAAAATTTAGCAATAATACGAGGTAACTCATATCTCTCTTTTATAAAAAATAACCATGTCATTCGGGAATAGTCATCAACAAATATAAGAAAATAACAAAATCCATTCAAACTAGTGCTTCGAGAAGGACCCCAAATGTCCGTATGGACTACATCAAAGGACTGAGTTTGACGACTATGACTACTAGTAGGGAAAGAACTACAGTGATGCTTGCCTAATTGGAAAGCTTCACACTCTAAGACAGACACATGACTCAGTGTAGGAATAGCTAACCGTAACTTTGCCAATGACAGGTGACCCAAACGAAAATGTCATTGAAGAGGCAAGATTGTAGCACTCAAAGCTGATGATAAGGTAGAAGGAGGTTCACTAGGATCCAAATAATATAACCCATCCTTCTCATACCTTGAACCAATCATATTCTTCGTTCTGAATTGGAAGAAAAAGTTATTGAACAGTGCAATGCCTTAGTCAGTTGACTTACAGAAAACAGATTAAAAGGTAGCGGTACAAGGCTCTTACTTCCCAAAGGGAGGTCAGGGGTTCAAACCTTAGTGGAGGCAGTGTGTGTGAGTCCCAACTAGGAAAAAAAGAAAAAGAAAAAATTAGGAACATAAAGGCTGGAAGATAATGACAATGACTTGGTGGGGTGAAGGACACCCTTCCCACAGGAAGGACAAGAAGAACCATCAGCTAAAACTATTTGATGTTTAATAGATTTGAGATTGGAAAAGAGAGATGATATACCAGACATATGGAAACTAGCTCCAGAGTCAATGACCCAAGATGGAGAAGATTGGGCCACACATGCAATATTACCTGAGTTGGCTAAGGTAGCAGTCGATGTATGTGGGAGAGTAGATTGTAGTGTTTGGATGAGCTTGCTAAGCTGAGTAGTGAGCGTATCACGAGAACCAATCGGAAGCCACATGTCCAGATGTAGTATGAGGCAATAGTGGTTGTGCAAAACCATCCATAACCTGATGTGCATATTGTGGTTTGCCATATTTCACCCAACAATAAGGTTCAGTGTGATTTGTACCACTACAATTATCACACTTTCTGGCACCACGTCCATTAGAATGGCCACCACCACGGGAACTACCACGAAAACCACGACCACCACGGTTACCACGAGAACCACCATGAGAACCACCACGACCTCCACTGCTAGAAACTAACGCAAAAGACTCTATGGGAGGTACAGTGGAGCTTTGCCCCAAAGATGACCGTAATAGACGAGCATAAGCATTAGCAGCTGTAGGTAACTTCTCACTAGCGAGAATCTGATCTTTGAAGCCACGAAGATCTGTATCTGAACCAGATAGCAATGAAGCAATCATAAATTCCTCCCAATGCCTCTTCTGCTTCTCTAAATCAGTACTAAATGGTCGATGTTATGGTAACTGATCCCACAAAATTTTCAAGGTATTATAGTATTCTGACAATGGTTTCCCAGATTGCTTAGTAGCAAAATTTTTCTCATACAACAACTTGAGAAACATTACTTTGGTGTGAAAATGACTCTGCAATAGAGTCCCAAATCTTTTTAGAAGAATCACAAAATGCAACTGTACTAGCAATCTCAGTTCCATACTGTGCCAAAGCCATCCCATAACAACACTATCCTCACACGCCCAATCTTCAAGTTGCTTCTCATCAGAGGGAGGATTTTCAGTCAAGTATTTCAATTTCCTTCGCCCACATAGAAAAACTTGAACCGCGTGAGCCCAAGAAAGAATAATTAACTCCGTTCAATTTTTGCGAGGTAATGGACTTAGGCATATCATCATCCTTGATAGTTTGTGGGCAATATTTAAACAAAATAAACCAGCAGCTGAACAGATTATAAGTCCAGAATCAACACACAAAGCAAGCAGAAGCAAACAGGTTTTAATATCAGTTTTATAGCAGCACCAACAACCCAATTCCAAGATTTAACAGCAGATTTCAGCCCAGTAACAACAGCCTGCAACCCAAGAACCCAAACAAGGTTTTACAACAGATTTTAGCACTAAACTCACAAAACAGTACCAACAGCCTGTAAACAACCTCAGTCAAACCTCCTTTTTGGCCAAAAAACTCAACCTAAATGCAATGAATCAACACACAACCACCAAGCAATCTCCTCCAAGGCACAAAAGACACCCTTTGGAAGGGATTTCAACAAAATAAACAACCAAAAATGGCTCCAAAATCCATATCAAAACCCATAAGGCCAGAACTTAAAAAATGTTTCAGAAATGGAAAACGACCCTCAAAAAGCATCAAAAGGCAACAAGAATACTATCATAATTACCAGAAAATTCAGGTGATCAAGTTGCTGTAATTCGCGACCTGTGTATGCTGACGTCAGCGAACTGATGCTGACGTCAACCTAGACAATAGTACCCTTGATAAATAAAAGAAATAACAACCACACTCTCTAACAATGACAACATGCAAAACTCTCCTTTAAGCTCTTAATTTTCCTGAAACAAGAAAATTGTTAGATTTTTGAAATTAAAAAAAAAAAATGTAATTAATAAAAGCAATGATTAACATTACAGTACCCGTAAAGTGTTGCATAATTTCCCTTTGGATTAGTATCACTTTTTAGAGCATATACCAAATTCTCACAATCAGTCTCAACTATAATATCAGTATATTCTAGCTGCTTTGCTCCAAGTAGTGCAAAGTACATTGCTTGTATTTTTCTGAATTGGGTGTTGAATTTTGTAACCAGACTTGATCAAAACCTGAACCACATCCACGTTGCCAGATCGAACTGCGAGGGACATCACCAACCGTTCATCGGAGTCCCTGCTGTTTGTATCTGCTTCGACATTGATTAGAGCTGAGATGAATTGGGAATTTCTGTTCATGGTGGCCAATTTCAACAACAAATTGAATGACTCACCCCAATACCAAATCGCTTTAGAGAACAGAAAAGTGGTTTCTAGGGTTATGGGGGAAGGTGAGAGGAGGGATTTGATGACATGAGGGCCGAAGAGGGAGATGGGGATAGCGGCATCCTTGAAGACGTGTGGGCCAGGCTTGGCAAATAGACGGCGAAGATCGTCCTAATGATGGGCTTTGCCGACGGGGAGCATGGAGGAGCGGATGAGGACTGTTTCAACTTTCAGGAGGGAAGGAGAGGTGGGTGGTTGTAGGGGTGAGAGGGGAGGAGAGAGAAAGCGGAGGTGAATGTTGCAGTGCTCATTTGGGTTCTGGTGAAGAAGAAGGGTAGTTTGGTCATTAGGTGATTATAAGGGTAGTTTGGTCATTAGGTGATTATAAGGGTACTTTGGCCATATTAAAGTGGAAAGGGATGCACATGACAATCATGTGCTTTTTGCGTGTTAGTTTTAGACAGCAAACTAACCGGATGGGGAGCCATATGATAGATGTTTGAAAAGTTAGAAGGGGTAATATGATTGTTTTTGGAAACTAGAGGGGTTTTTTTTTAATTTTTTTTATTTAAACCCTAATAAGTTATAAAAAAATAAAAATAAAAAAGATTTGTTTGAAAATCCATTTGACATATTCTGAATATTTCCAAGTGAATTTACTATTAATTATTAAATATTCTATAAATATTCCAAGTGAATTTACTATTAGTTATTCATTAAAGCACGCTAAAGTAGTACAACCCATAAACACATGATATTCATAGTGGATCAATTTTTTAAGACTGCAGTCTTCCTCTTTTCTGAAATGTGTATAAGAGATTCTTTCAGAACTTCTAATCACCCCATTATATAAAGCGACAAAAACTTAGTATCAAAACTTCAGCTTGTGGACCAGACATTGATCTAATACTCCTACTCACTCTGCTCCCTCTCCAGCTAATCAATTCATCAGACGTCAAACAAGGCATTTACTAATTTACAAGTGTATAACATGCTCTTTGACACGGAGCAAGGCATAAGATGATTTAACATCAAATGTCTCAGCTTGTGGACATGCATTTACACTCACTTTCAGAAGAATGCCTATTCTGCTCCTTCCAAATCCACCACCAAAGACATAGTGACACCACCTGCCACATCGATCTAGCTTTGATACTCAGACTAAGCCCTCTCCAGCTAGACAATGTATGACAAAGAGAGGAGGGAGAAAATCCCACAAATTCCTTGACATGGAGTAAGTGAACGTAAAAAAATTTATCATCTCGATATGGGTTTGGCGCATATTTGAGGAAAATTTCCTCTCCGTGATGTTATGTGTGCAAAATGTTTCTTTATAAGTTGGAAAAGTTCTAAGAATAAAATTGCTGTCACCTCATCTTACACCATCGTTTGTCTTTCTTGCTCCTTCAACCTGACCCCAGCTCATTTGAATTCTTCTTCATTTCTTTCCACTCATCCATCTCACCTAAAGAAATATCTCTTATCCCCTGCAGATCTAAAGCTTCTGATAAAAAAAATTGCACTTCTCTTTTCCAGAAGGAAAAGAAACAGATCAAATTCTGACCTAGATGATTTGTTATAGAATACTTATGCGAGAAGAACTATTAATTACTTTATGAATTCGTTTCTTGTGATTGTTTATTCCATAATCTAGTTCTACAATTCATCTTATGTACTTTCAGCTATCAAAAGAAATGTTACATATTTTGGGTATGGTTGATTAGTGAGCATCCTCAAAATTGCTTGTATCATTGATTATTAGCGGTGTAAATCTATGTAAGATATATATTTCTTACCATTCCTTGGTATCTTTTAAACCATGTGACTAAATTTGGCTTGCTGACAACAGAGCACAGACACGTTGGTTGTACAAATTTCAATTTACTCAGCAGCAGAAGCCATACAATATTTACACTGGTATTTTTTAATACATCATGGGAATTCAATACATCTTTAGTTTTTTTTTTTTTTTTTCATTTCACTAATTGTTTCTTATAGCTAAATTCTAACTTTTTTCATCATTTGCAATTAGATGGCCTTTCCATGTTAGCTTTGTTAAAAGAAGATGCATATAATATGTGATACAAGATTACTAGGAAAGCATATCTAGTTGATGCTACTTGTAACATCTAAGACACACACATACTTGAACGTCCAGTCTCATTGAACTGTTGAGTTCATCTAATCTAAATGCTCTATGCAGTTTCTGTCCTTTTTCTGTCTTCTTATTTTTTATGCCTAAATTAGTTTCATTCACCAGAAAAGTAAACGGTGATAAAAAATAAAAATAAAAAACATTGGCTCAATATGTTACCTAAAGGGAACTCAGAACACTAACCATGGAAGGTACAGTCAATCAAAATTTTCCGGTGCTTGACACCAAGCCCCATGTTCTCATTAATATTTATAGAATCAACTCTTCACTTTCTCCGAGTTTTCAGCCTCCTCCATTGGAAATCTGTGACCCTCATTTCTAATTCCTGTGACATATATTGGAAATGATGATGACACTCCACTTCCGTACTCCTGCTCTCTCCTTTCTTTTTGGAAGAAAAGAAAAAGAAATGGTACAATCACCCTTAAAAGCACTCACTCCCCACAATTATTCCAAAAAGTACTCTTATAACTTTTGAGGGCCAATTTTGTCATTTTCTTTATTTAATAAGTCAAGTGGAGTACCAAAGTACAAAAGTGGAGTGCCAAAATCACATTCCTATTTATATGCATAAGAAACTGGAATACATTAGTAAGGGAAAAAATTTGGAAAAAGTGAAAGATGGTCATTCCATGCACATAAAGATTGAAGAAAATGAAAGGGAACACAAGATACAAGTAAATGATCAACCATGGAGAGTGCAATACCATCCAACTTGTATGAGGAGAACCTCCCAGTCACCCTCTTGAACAACTAAAAGAAGGTAAAAAGACCTTTAAAGACGTCAAAGTTGTTGACCCTTTTTGCTACAAGAACTGGCTCATTTCCTGATCTTGTAACCCAATTAATATGCTTCTGTAAAGTAGAAATGTTTCGTTTCTCTCAACCAATGACTATAATATTATGAGGCCCTGGGTCACTACTACGTCAGAGTCTCCCTCAACCAAGCAAATTTCAAACTCCACCAATTAAAGGCCCTCTAATCAAACTATAATCTTTGCCTTAATAGCTCAACTTCGACCATTTGGTTCAGAAAATACTAAAATAGTAACATAACGGATACTAAAAATTCCTTCAATAGCCAGATTTTCAAGAAATTAACCACTGAATTTGAACTTGATTCTCCTTTTGGAAGACGTTAAAATGTGACAAAAAGAACTTGAAAGATTTTCAATCCAATCCGAGAGGGAGGTCATAACAGAGATCACCTGACATTGTAAATTGCTTGCTCTAAGCACCTTATCATATTTAAGCCCAGTTTTAGTTTTTCTTATCTTGTCAAGTTTTTCCCATTGTCAGCAGTATCATACTCATGACATAGATAATCATGCATTGTAAATTAACTGCAGCCTGTCCTTTTAGCTTTCTTTGGAACCCAGTAATTCTTATTTTAGACCAACTTGCCCTTGCATCTTTGCCAATTCGTTACACGGTAAGTTTGTAATAATTACTGTTTGTCCTATGTTTCATGGACTTGGATACATGTGTTTGGTATGGTTATGCATATAAACTCGAAGTCATCAAATCCTTTTTTTTTTTGGAAGGTGAATTTATCAAAAATTGAAATCCAAATATACAGGGAGACTGCTAGATATTCATAAATCTAAGAAAAAAAAATCTTACGTAGTAGTTTGTAAGGTTATATAATGTCTTTGTAGGCATATGAATGTTTTTGAAGCAATAGTGTAACAGAATAACATAATTAGAGAGTTATGCACAATTATATAGTAAACTTGATTATCGGTTATGCTTGCTAGGTGCATGTCCAGCAGACATTTTGGATATAAATTTTATATCAATACCTTAATGTCGTATGTTCAGTGCAGCTACTTCATGCATTTAGAAGAGAATGTAACATTGTTTTGAACACCATTTGCCCAGTATTGCACTTATCTTCATCTTTCTTGCTGATTACCTTAATCCTCCCTAGGACCTTCCTTTTTTTTTTTTCTTTTTTTTTTTTTTTTCTTTTTTTTTTTTTTGTGGGGGCACTCTTCTAATTTTAGCATCTAATTTTACATAACATTGTTTTATTCTTCCAACTCTATTTCCTTAAAAGTATCAGTTTCCTATTTCCTAGACTCCTAGTTCAGTCATCTAATTCTTGGAATCTTATTTCATCTGCTCTTAAAAATGTCTAGTCTTTTGAGTACCCAGAGGTATCTTGTAAGGCATCTTGTATAGACTGAATGTGTCTTGCATATTGTGATCAATGGGTGTATCTGTTAAGTAATCATTACTGCAGATTTGATCCGAGAAAGTTTCTTCTCTTAGTAGTACGCAAAGGTCAAGTGCATTAAATGCATGGAGACTTGTAGCACGTGAATAACTGTGGGGGTACAAAAGCTTCCATCCTTTATATATACCCCTAAAGCATTGGCTTATGTTCTGTGAGTAGGCTTCTCCTCAGTATGAATTTTTAGTTTATATATATTACTCCTTCCACCCCATTAGTTAGTTGAAGCATTTGACTATTCCACATCTTCTCTTTCTGAAGTATGTGCTTGCTACTACTTGGCAGATATATATAATTTTTTTTTCCTTTTTCAGTGGCATCTTTTCTCTTCATGATAATGAATTATATCATTCAGTATTACTTTTTGCCTCTCCATTTCTTTCTTACCCTTTTGGTTCTATTCTCTTTGAACAGACAATAGAGAGTAGTCCTTGTGGCAAAAATAGTGAAGGAGAAGCTGTTAACTTATCGCAACTGGTATACTTCTGAGGCTTTGAACTTTAGGCATACTTTCCTTGCTTTTTAGTACCAGCTTTAGGCTTATAACTGACACCTATTCTGATTGCTTAATTTCACATCTTTCTGTCCATGTTTGTTTTACAAAGATTAGTGGATTTTGTTGCTCTTTGTTATGTGTTATATCATCTGTTACCTGTAATTAAAAAAACACCAATAAATATCATTTAACTTTTCTGAACTTTTATTTATACATGCAGAACCTCATTGATCTGGCTGGTTCTGAGAGCTCCAAGGCTGAAAGCACTGGTGTCCGTCGGAAAGAAGGATCCTATATTAATAAAAGTCTGCTAACTCTTGGAACTGTGAGGCCTCAATCATGTTCATTAATATGTCAGTTTTAATTGTGTTCTCTAGAACTGTCTTCTTTTAGCCCCGTCAACTTATACTTGATTGTAATCTAAATTGTCAACCTATTCTCAAACACTTTCTTTTTCTACTATATTATATCTGTACGATAGGAAAATGAGAGAACCCCTTTTTTTTTACTACTATTTTCTCAGTATTTCGTTATGGCAACAAATTATGCTAAAATTTCATATACTTTCCACAGTTCTTTTTTCTGCAGATAAAGTAGGTAATGGTCATAATAGTTTGTCTTGCTATAAAAATCTGTTCTTTTTGCTAGAATAAATTAAATGCACTTTGCATAATTCCTGAACACTAGCTATATTTTGAAGCTATTTCTTCTGCTCCTTTTTCTTTCTTTTTCTTTTTTTTTTTGGTGGGGGGGGGTTGATATTGAACTTCTCATGTAATTGCAATGCTTTTTTAGCAACCTTATTATGGAATGGAACTGAAGTCCATGCCTTCTCTCTTTCTCACTGACACTCGCCCTCCTCCACATGCAGCACAAAGTTCTGCTCTCAATACTAGATAAATCTAATCTCCATTCTATCAATCTCCCCCATTATCTTTTAATTGATCTTGTCTGTGGTCCCTAATGTTTTAATCTAGTTTGTTATTCTACTCATAATATAGTTGACTTCTGTCTTGTATGTCACTGAATGCCTTTGCAGAGCAATATTGCATACCTGAGGAAGATATGATTTGTGGTCTTCATTCTACAGATTGGACTTATTAAGAAGATATGATTTGTGGTTGTCAGGTTATATCAAAGTTGACAGATCGAAGGGCCGCACATATACCATACAGAGACTCTAAATTGACAAGGCTTCTTCAGTCATCATTAAGTGGTCATGGACGTGTATCTGTAAGCTTTCCTCATTTGTGTATATATACACATATATATATTTGTGTGTGCATTTATACATTTTGGAATTCAGCCTGATGTATGTTGGTTGAATGATAGGATACTTTGAATTTGTCTATGTGGTACCTGATTCTTCTAAATAAACATTGCTAATGAATTGGAGTTTAAGTGTACTTAATTGTCCCTGTAAAACTACAGCTCATTTGCACTGTTACTCCCTCGTCAAGCAATTCAGAAGAGTCGCATAACACTTTGAAATTTGCCCACCGTGCAAAACACATTGAAATTCTAGCAGCACAAAACAAGGTAAGAAATTATGAGTTGTTTGCATTTTTTAATTTCTCTTTGTTGGCAGTTATTGGAATTATGCTGTGGACCTGCAGATAATTGATGAGAAATCGCTTATCAAGAAATATCAAAATGAGATTCGCTGTCTGAAAGAAGAGTTGGAACAACTAAAGAGAGGCATTGTTACACTTCCTCGACTGAAAGATATTGGTGAAGACGATATTGTGCTTCTAAAACAACAGGTGCACCTTTAATGAATTTGCTTTAAGCATGGATTACAATTTATTTTTATAATCAGGGAGACACTATTCATGTTCCAAGAAGGGCCTCAGGCGGTAGACCTTTTTTTCCTCGATCAATGAACTGACAAATATCCTCTGAACTAATTTTTTTAACATAAAACTCCCTGTTGTATCTCTTTCATTCTCTCACTCCTTTCTCTCTCTACTCTATTCTCTGTTTTTCGTCTCTTTTCTCTCTTCCTCCCTGATCCAATGGAACCCACCACCTACTCCATCAACCACCTCACCTCTAACTCCTTCCCACGTTTCACCATCTGATTGAAAACACTTCCATCATCACAAGATCTGATTTCCTTTATTGTCTGGTCATACTTAATTTCAACCTCTTGCGTTCTGTGAAATTCTTAAGTGGTTCTATTTCTGCTTTCTCCTTTCTCTAGTTCAGACAGCTAATTCTGCATCAATTTATATTCTTTTTTTATATATATTTTTTCTTCTGGTAAATAAAGTGCTATTTAGTCTTAACATTGCCAAGGGGCATAGATTAGTCCTACTGAGCACAGCCTCTCTGCTAGAAACTCATACTGCTTCTTGATCTGTTGTTTTCTAGGTAGTTGTCCTTCCCTGCATCCATGTTCATAGTTAAGTTTGCATACCTGAACATGACTCCTTCCCAGTTGCCTATTAGTTATGATCTGTGTTTTCTCTCATTTATATCTTGCTGTCCTTTCACACACACATATATATATATGTATATAATTTTTTTTTTAATCTCTTTTTATTCTTGAGTTGTGGACCTGTGGTAGCTTCGGTTTGGGACCGCCTTGATTTCAAGTTAAATTATTATAATCTTTTTCAATATTCATGACTTTCATTTTCCCTGTTGTCATGTTCTTTTATGTTCCCTTATCTTCAACTTAAATTTATGTAGAAATATATAATATGGGTTGATACAAATTTTTTTTATTTCTCTACGAAATACTTGTATGACTTGATCTTTAATTTGGTTTGATGTGTAAAAGCTAGAAGATGGTCAAGTCAGACTGCAATCAAGATTGGAAGAAGAAGAAGATGCTAAAGCTGCTTTGTTGGGTAGGATACAGAGGCTGACGAAGCTAATTTTGGTCTCCACAAAAGCTTCTCAATCATCAAGATCTCCTCAGCAGCCTTGTCCTAGAAGAAGGCATTCCTTTGGAGAAGAAGAGGTATAAAGATCAAGATATTCCACATCACTTTAATTTACCTGAAATAAATCTCAGATAGGCTCTATCAAAAGGGGAAATCATAAAGAATAGAAAACTTATTATATAGCATTCTGCTGAATGGCTGGGTTTTAGATCTATTTTCTCATTTATTCTTTTTAATGATATGATATAGCTTCCTTCTTGGACTTGCAGCTTGCATACCTCCCGTACAGAAGGCGAGATTTGACGTTGGATGATGAAAATACTGACTTACATGTTTCTCTTGATGGGAATGCTGAATCTGTGGATGATACGTTGAAGGAGGAGAAAAGGACCCGGAAGCATGGATTGCTACATTGGTGGAAACTACGGGTATGTAGAATATGAATCAGTTTTAACCTATGCTATATTTTTGGGGGTAGAATTTTATGAGTTTAAGTAAATGTCCATCATCAAACTACTAATTATATTGACATTTTGCCGTCCTGATTATTTCGTGTATCGTAGAATCTGGAACACGTTTTCATATCGCAGATGAAAATAAAGGAATAATCATGTATCTGAGAATATATTGGTTGAAGTTCTGATTGAGAATTGCTTGCAATTTTGAAAAAGAAAAGGAACATCCACCTTGTGTTTGTCCGTTTATTGAAATTATACTAGTTTGTTTTATCTTTTGGAATCTGAATGCGGAAAACCATTATGTAGATCCGACCCCTTAAAAACACCATATGCCAATATATATTGGAAATAAATTACTTTGTGAATTCCTAAAATTTGGCAGCACCATATGATAATATATACACAAGTTAAAGCAGTGAGAAAACAATAGAGATTTAATTCTAGTGCTATGAAAAACACATATGGTCAAGAGGTACCCTCCTTAAAAATATGAACCAGGAAAGGGAGACAATGTGGGTTAAGAAAAAGATGTTCACAACCATTGACCCAGGTGGTATGATCTCTCCTCTCTAAAGGGTGAGGTAATCGATTCGAGCCCCACATGGGGCAATGTTGGTGTGTGTGAATGTGTGTGTTGCTTACGTACCCAAAAAACAAATGATTTTGAATTTCATGGTTTTTATCAATATTTTTAATTGAAAATTACAATATAGAGTTTAATATTTCTTTATAATGGAATAATTAATCTTTCTATGATGAGTAACTATGAGAGCCGCTACCTGATTCAGCGTTAGGACATTTGAGCATCGGTGCCACTGGTGCAAATTCAACCTTCAGAGAAGCCACCTTTTGAATTACTAAAACATGCCTATAGTTGCAGGGTAGTGTAGAATATTAAATACTGCGAGAAAACATGCTACACTGATACCCTAGGCTCTTGAAAAAATAATTGAAATTCAATAAGAGAAGTATGAAGTTAATTATGGCAATGTCTTTACTGACATTACAAATGACTTAATCATCTATGTGTATATGATTAAATGAAATTTTTGCAGCTTCTTAAAATTGATAATGTTTCATTAGAATATTCTTGAATGAGAAAACAATAATATTTCATGCAATGTTTTATTTTCATATATTTATGAACTTTGGTTTAAGAATTCTGCTTTACATTAATAACAATAATATATTTTTTCTTTTGGTGATTAATCTACTTGATGTGAACACCTTTGATAGAAACAGAAAAGCCATTAGAAAGTTGTAAAGGTTATTTTACGATTTTTAACAATTTTGTTGTGGTAATTTAAAATTGTGCTTTACTATCTGTTAGAGATTGAGAATTTCGCATTCTCATTTTGTCCTGTTTTATATTTACCAGAAGCGAGATAGTGGATTGGGGTCTTTGACAAGCACTAGTGATAAAGCAACTGGAGTCAAGTCTATTAGTAGACCTTCAACCCCTCAAGCAGAAAGCGTCAATTGTCGTATGGAATCCAGACATTCACATTCTCTACATTCAGAAAGCACTCCCTCTGCAGATCTTTTATCAGAGGCGGGACAGGATAGAGAAGTTTCCGAAAATATTTTGGGACAACGGACACCTCTGGTATGCAATTTACTAATTCAGTGTTTGAATCTATCTTGTGGTGGAGAAAATTTATCTGTTGCATGCATGGGTATCATGATTTTCCTCTTAAACATTGTTGGAACGATGAGAAACTAAAAGTTTTGCGGGAAGCGGGCTGAAAGTTATCTTTCTCCTCCTATACTGTTGGAACTCGGTGGCATTATTTATCCAGAACGAGACAGAACCTGTCATATCTCACTGTTATCCTGTCATCAACTGTTGGAATATGCATGTACAAAGTGATACTTGCCCATATGTTTTGTTCTTTGCTTCACTTAATGCCTATATATTTTGCAGCTTGTGCCCAATAATTTTATACCACCATCTTCTTGCTCTATATATTTTTGCTATTTAAGTTTCTACGGCCTTTGTAATGCATGCTCTAGACATGTTATTTGCAGTTGGGAAATCTAAGATTCTTCTAGTTCTATATGAATTGGGTAGCATTTAGAATTGCTAGAAAGTACAAACTTCAAACTCGGATGGATCTTTGTAGGTGCAGGGTTATTATGCATTCCATCATTAGTGTTAAATACTTGATTCGTATTCGTTCAAGGTGAAGGAAAAATACTTTTAATGTGGAATCAATTTTTTTTACGTCGCATGTTTTTGGGAACCAATCTCTGGACGAGTTGTTGATTATCAATACGAGAACACTCTAATTCTTCTTCAAAAAATCAAATTAGTTGGGCTTCAATTCTCGTCTTACACTTCACTCCTATGACCTTGAAAGAATCCTCAAGCTTACGAAGAGTGGTCTCTTATAGAGCAAAGGAAAACTATGGTTTTTGGAAAGAGAATATTTTATGTCTTGCACACACACACAAAGGGTTGCTGCCCCACCCTATGTATACTATAGGGTGGGCCGCCCCTCTCTCTCCTTCCCCTAATACTTCTTTAACTCTTTGCTTGCTCTCCAAGTAAGGTAGAAGTGGGATCTAGATGGGCCTATATATCCATGTCTTGTCTCCAATAAGCCCAATTAATTAGCAGCCATTTAATTAGCTTATTAATTATTTTCAATTCCACTAAATGAAAATAATTGCACTCCAAGTCACCAATAAATATAGAAGCCACTTATGTATTAAATATTGCAAATTAACCCCTCCATGTTAATTAGTGTTTGGAAACCATAAAAGGTAATACCATCAAAATTGTGAGTTACAGTTCCCAAAGTGGACATCTATTTTGGGACAGAGGGAGTATTTAATATAGAAATAAATAAATATATTAAACAATTTATCTAAAACCACTAGATCCACTTTTCTGTGATCAAACAAACCAAAACAAAATAATACTACCACATGGATTTCATCTTGACAATATATGTTCCAGAGCCCGTAATCAATGATTACCCAAAATACCTAGCATATTGATCTTAAAAGATCTCACCCATTAATCAAAGCAACTATGACTAAAGACAAAAGTCCATTATTCCCTCCAGATTAAGAATTATTTGCTTTAGTACTGATAAGTTAAATTACTATAATGACAATCATAATTTTCACTTATCAGTGATCCCATTCAATGTGTCATACACACTAACACGTGTGATTTTGAGTCTTCCACTCAGATGACTGAGATAAGCCATCCTATCTCATAAAAATCAATGTGTTACATTTTTTTAGATAGAATGCTCAATTCTAATCTACAATATTTCTAATTATGTAGATTGATGACTTGTAAGCACAAGACTCTCTCTATGCACCTAAATCATCCAATCTTAATCAGTGGACAGTATTCATCTCATAAATTAACCAAAATAAGCATTCCCACATATTTGTCTAAAAAACAGATTTATTTAATCCAAAGTTGGATTTGAAAGGCATATAATCCCAACACAAGCTTGATGAAAAGGCTTGTTTTGTTATATGAAAAGGTTATATATATATATATATATTGTTCAGGAAACTCCATTTTGCAACTTCCTTCATTAATGTTAAATAATTGCCCATAAGTTAGAATGCTTTTACATAACCCTTGGGTTTAGAATTCAATGTCATGTTTCCAGAGTAACACAAAGACGATTGACCAAATAGATCTTCTGAGGGAGCATCAAAAGATTTTGTTTGGAGAGGTGGCACTCCATTCAAGTGCTCTAAAGCGGCTGTCTGAGGAGGCTGCAAGAAACCCTAAGAGCGAAAAAATTCATGTAATATCTTGATTTCATATCATTTGTGTCCCTAACTGCAACTTAATTTCCTATATAATTCATTTTTATGGTCCTACATCATAGGTGGAGATAAGAAAGTTGAATGATGAAATCAAAAGGAAGAATGAACAAGTAACTTCTCTAGAAAAGCAAATTGCTGATTCCATTGTTTGTCCGCCTGACAAAATTGATAAACCAGAAGCACCACAAGTAAGTTCTACTTCCTTTAGTTCCCAAACCACACCCCACACACCCCCCCCCCCCCCCTCTTCCTCCTTTTTTACCTGCCTTTGGGTGCAGGGGTGGTGATCGTGGATTGGGGGTATTTGTTGGCTTTGTTTAGTTTGATAGATTGCTTAGCTCTTAATTACATGTTATCTTTAATACTAATTGTTGTTGTGTGCTGCAGTCTGTAGCTGAACTTTTGGCACAATTGAGTGAGAAGTCCTTTGAACTTGAGGTAACGCAGCCTTTGTATGCAAAATGGGGAATTATTTGTTTATTCTTTGACATAGTTAAGGGAATGTCTGAACATTGAATAGACATAAAATCGTTTCTTTATATTTTATCTTTTTCCCCTTCTGTTTCAGTGCATTTGAGAGCACAAGTGATTCTTTCGTTCATAATCATTACAAAAAGGGAATATATATATATATATATTTCTTTACTCATTTTAGATACCTTTTAAGACATATTTGAATGATGTTATTTCCATCAGATTCTCAAATACCCTATTCTTTGAAATCAAAGTTCATATGCTTTTTGAGCCATCTTATTCTTAAGTTTAGCTTGCTTCCTATATTAACATGTTACACATTGAAATTATGAAATGATGTAAAATGAAGCAAAGAATAGATTGATTAAATTATGTTTGTAGTTTTATCTGAAAAGCATTTTAATGTTTTATTTTTCCTTTACAGGTTAAAGCTGCAGATAATCGAATAATTCAAGCGCAGCTCGACCAAAAGGTACAGGAACAATACGGCCAATTATGCAGAACTCCATCATTATATGATTTCACTAATTAAAAATCTGTCATGAAATCTTTCCTTCAGATATGTGAATGTGAACATTTGCAAGAAACAATTGCCTCCTTGAAACAACAGCTTTCTGATTCATTGGAGTTGAAAAATGCTAGCCAAGTGGTGTCTCATTCACAACACTACTCTGAAACAAGAAGTATCAAGGAAGAAGTTTGCATAAGCAGAGAAAATACTGTATTGAAGGACACAAATGAAGCATTGCTTTTTGGAGCACAGGTTCTTTCCTAATTGACCCCCTTAATGAGTGTTGGTTTAGTTCTTGAAGCAAAGTTATGTACTCCCTCTGGCTTCCCTTTTCGAAATTCCAAGTTCTTGAGGGGACATGCATTTAATGCGTTGTCCCATTTTAAAAGTAAAAAACTACCCATTTAAAATACACAGTTAGTTGGGTAAGTTTTCAAAGGCTGAGGATATATTGGGAACTATATAATCTATTTACATTGACTTTTCAAATCTGACTAGAATTTTGGGACGAAGGAGTAGTTGAATGAAACATTATTGGTATTTTTCTTTTTTGTTCCTCGAAGATACACTCACCCATGTTGTTCCCATGGGGACTTGAACTCTCAAGCTTCCACTATGGAAAGTAAGGAGATATTGTTGGGTTATAACCCTTGGGTTCTATACTCTTCTATTGAAATGTCCCAAAATCCACACGCACACATTTCTTTGAAAACAAAAAAAGAAAAAACCCATATTTTGTCTTGAAAAACATCTGCTTGGTTCACTTTTCTGAAAATAGTTCTCAAGAACTCAGAAATCAGGAAACTGTTTTACTGAAATCAGGCCTTTTTTATAACTGAGTTTTCATAAAACAATTTTTAGCAACCAAACAAATTTTGTACAGTTTTCTGATTTTCAGTTCTCTGAAAGCATAAAACTGAACCAAGCAGGGCAAAGTTTTTTTCTAAATCTCGTGTTTCAAGTTCCAACTCAAACATTTGGTGGATTTTTATATGTAAAATGGTCATTGTAGCATACATAATTGAAATAAAAAAGGGTATCATACATCAATTATGCGAGTCAAATGACTTGATATTGGAAACCTAAGGTTCAGCTGGAGCCCTCAAGAAATTTTAATCCACTTTTCATTGCATTTGTCTTGTTTATAAATTATTTAAACTATATCATAGTCGTAGATTTCTAAATTTGTTGTCAAATCACAAATGCATATGTACATGTCTTGGATGCTTATCATGCCTTTGCTATATGCATATTGTGAGTTGCACTATGCGGAAGTGGTTAGTTAAATTAGTATTATCTGATGGTTCCTATAGACCTAGAGGGGTGGAATAGGTTTTATTGCTTAGTTTTGTAACTGACTAAAATTTTAAGTTAGTTAACAATAAAGATCCCCATTAATCACGATCAACAAATAAAGCAAAGCAAGTAAAGGAAAGAACTCGTCTGATTTTTCAACTAAAAATCGTCAACCATGAAAAACCATGGGACAGTGGTCCAAAGTAAAACAATCCACTATATAAACAAAGTTACACTGACTTTGACTTAGTCGCTCAAACCACTTTGTCAAGACCTTGTTGCTGACCGTGTGAGAGTTGCTCCTGATAATGAAATTGAATGCAAATGAACCCAATACCTGCAGATCTTAGATTCACTCCCACAATCTCACAATCGAGCCGCTGACATAGAACAAGATTGCTCTGCAAACAATCTGCTCCCTTAAGAACACCGTAGATGAAATGGGTTGAAGTATATTACTATCAATCAAGCTCTGTACTAAGAATCACAAGTAAGCATGGGGTATGTACTGAATTTCCTAGTTGTGAAAGATGAAAGCCCTAAAAAGATGGAAAACCTAGGGTTCTTGAATCTCTAGGTTTTCTCTCAAAATTCTGCAATTTTTCACACCAAAATAACCTAGAAATTTTGTTTTTATAGTTTCGAAAAGCTAATCATGAATTAGAGTTCAAAGATAATTAAATCCTTGTGAAAGTAGGATTTTGCGTCACTTTGTACTTGTTCAAAGAATTCTACTGCCGGTATAATATTATTTTGGACAATAACATGGGATGTCCAGTGTACTATTATACCGATGCAACATTATGCCCAACCAATACATTGTCATTTTGCCGGAAATAACCCTAACACAAGAGCATGTTGTACCGGTACAATAAAATGTACTACCGGTACAACTTGAATCCTGACAAATAGGTATCAAAACCAGTAAACTCTTTTACCGGTACAGAGAATGGCTCTACCGGTACAATATCATATTGTATCTAGACTTAGTTGTATTTCTGAAAAGATCCTGTTTTGGCCACAAAAATTTTGTCCGTTCCAAGTGGATAGGTGGAAGGTGCGGGCGTGCCAGGATTCATCGAGAATCCAATGGAAATGGAATAGCACCAAACTATATTCCAAATCTGGCCTCGAGAGGCTTGAGGTTCTAGCGATTCTGAAGAGCTTGGAACAGGGTTCTTTTTGCCTTTGTGGAAAAGGACTTCAGAAATGGAAAATGATGGAAATGCTTGGTGGAAGTGCTGGTGGAAGAATTAAATGGATTGAATTGAAAGTATGAATTTTCATTAAACTAGGAACTAAAGTACTAGTGCTGGAAATTAAAGGAATTGAAATACAAGTGCGGGAAATTAAAGTGCTTGAAAATTAAATATTACACTAAGAAAAGATAAAGTGCATGAATTGAAATGAAAAGTAGATGAAAATAGGAGTTGTTTGATCTGTGTGGAGATGCCCTTTAATTCTGTTTAAGTCTTCTATTTATAGTCAGTGACAATTCCATCTGTTATTGAGATGCTTCCAAGTGGAACGTCCAATTTGTACGTCTAATTTGTGTCACGTGGAACGTCTAATTTGTGTCACGTGGAATGTCCGATTTGTGCCGCGTGTCCCATGTCTCCCTTAGTCTTCTCATAATGTTGAAACGTGTAAGGATATACTCTCCCATGAATTGCAGCTTTGGAGGAGTGGTTTTGGTGGTTTAATGCCAATTGAAGGCTTCTAGCCGCGTTCTGGAACTGCCAAGTGGAATGGACTACGATCTTCTAACTGCCTCACTTGCAAGTATCTGCTCCTTTTATAGCTGCCATGTGTCCCATGACTTTTCAACTTGTAGGTAACTACCTCCCTATTTGCAAACACGTGTCCCTATGCAGTTAGTTGTACTAAATGGCTTTCTTTGATGAAGACACGTGTCACTTCATGATTGCATCCTGTTAGAATGTTTTGGGTCATTATGTAATTACATATAATTGGTAGGGTCATTGTGTAAGTAGCTGAGTCTTGTATCTTTATATAAGCCACTGTAGGCTTAGGGTTTAATACATATGTGAAATACATTTCAGTAGCCACCATGATCTCTTTCTTTCTCATTAGTTTAAACATAGTATCAGAGCGGTACGAAACAATGGGAAACTAAGATTGTGGTTGTGATTGCATCTGTGGTGTTCTTCTACAAATCGAAATCGAGATCGAAGTCGATTCTGTTCTTCGCCGAAGGTTTGGCCGTCATTCTCAGATCTTAAGCCCTTCGTTTTGTTGGCCGAGGCTGCCTTGGCTGTCGCAAGTTGCAGAGGTTCCATCATCGCGAACCCCCTCTACTCGGTTGTTAGATCGCCGCTTGTGTTGGGTTGCCGTCATCGCTGGAAGGGCTAGGGTGTGTACTAGCCTTGATTCTCCATTGCGAACCTCGGGTGTTGGAGTTTATTGTCGGTGGCAGAGTTCTGGTTCTTGCCGGCGCTAATTGTGAAGGAGAAAGGTGGTGTTTGGCTGCAGGCTTGAAGTTATCCCAACCTTGGTTTACTAAAACCGGAATAGCAAAGAACTGGTTTTGATTTGGTCCGTTTACCCATATCCAGCCCGCTTGACCAGATCCAGCCCGTTCGACCAGATCCGGCCCGTTCGACCAGATCCCGCCCGTCTGACCAGATCCGGATTCAGTTTTTTTTTCCCAGGTTCAGTTTTCTTATCTCTTTTTCCTTTTCCATGGCTGCCGGTTCAGACCTGCTTTCTTCTGCTTCTTTCAATCTTCTCATGACTTCAGTCAAGCTCAATGGGAAGAACTATATTTTATGGGCCAAGTCAGTAGCTATTTTTCTGAAAGCCAAAGGCTTTGGCTCTCATTTGGTTAAGGATAAGCCTAAAGACAGTGATGCAGATTTCAGTTCATGGGAACAAAGGGATGCTCAAATCATTTCCTTAATGCTGAATTGTATTGAACCCAATATCAGCTCCAACCTGTTGTATTTGGATACTGCCAAGGAGCTATGGAACCGCCTCCAACATCAGGTACTGGTAATATCACCAAAATTTATGAGGTGTAGACAATTCTTTGACCTCCGGCAAGGTACTAACAGTCTCGCAGAGTACTTCTCACAGTCCATGGGAATTTGTGAAGAAATGATCTTGTATCAGCCTATCACCTCTGATGTGAAGAGCATGCAACAATAACGTGAGGATTTTAATGTTGTTCGGTTTCTCACGGGGTTGTCACCAAAATATGAATCTGTTCGTGCACAGATTTTGGGTAGCACTGCACTTCCCTTTCTTCCTGATATGTTCTCCAGGCTCCAGCGTGCTACTCTATCTAGTGGCGTTTCCGGGAGTGCTTCAAGTGGTGTCACTATTCCTCCTAGCAGTGAACGTTCTGCATTAGTTGTGAACCAGGGTGGTTATCAGTCTTCTCGTGGCAGTGGCGGTCGTTTTACCCGTGGACGTGGTCAAGGCCGTGGTCATGGCAGAAGCAGAGACTTCAAACTCTAAACTCACTGCAGTCTTACTAATCACATTGTCAATTACTGTTGGGATCTTCATGGGTAACCGCCACCTTCTTCCTATGCACATCAAGTAACCTCTAATGAACGGGATTCTTCTTTCTCTGCCACACCAACTGCTCCACAAGTGGCTGTTGAGCCTGCTATGGTCACCATGACAGTTTCCCGCGATGAGTATGCTCAGTTTATGTCTCAACAACGGCCTTCCACCTCATCTTCCATGGTTTCCTTTGCCCAATCAGGTAGTGCACCTGCATATCTCTTATCCTATCGTCAGAGTCCCTGGATTCTTGACTCTTGGGCATCAGATCACATGACTGGTAGTTCTCATCTCTTATCTGATTTTCAATCTGTTCCTTCCTCTCAAAGTGTTACTCTTGCTAATGGCTCCTCCACTAAAGTTTTGGGTATGGGAACCACCCAACTCACCTCTTCTATGTCCTTTTCCTCTGTATTATATATTCCTCAATTCCTTTTTAATTTGATGTCCATTAGTCAAATTACTAAATCTCTTAATTGCTCCGTTACATTTTATCCCTCATGTTGTATTTTTCAGGATCTCAAGACGATGAAAAATATTGGTACGAGACATGAAGTAGGTGGCTTGTATTACTTTGATCTTGCACTATCTCCCACGGCTCTTCAATCATCTTTGTCTCCTTTCCAGTGGCACTGTCGTCTCGGCCACCCGTCCTTATCAGTTTTGCAGCGTCAAGTCCCCAGTCTTAGTCTTAGTTGTGTTGAGTCCATGCCTTGTGAAGCATGTCAGCTTAGTAAGCATTGTCGTGTATCTTTTAAACCGAAGCTACCAATTGTGTTGCTAGTCCTTTTCAGTTAATTCATTCATATGTATGGGGCCCAATAAAACATATTTCTATTAATGGATTTCGTTATTTTGTGACTTTTGTGGATGATCATTCTCGTATGACTTGGTTGTTTTTAATAAAAAATCGTTCTGAGTTATTCTCTATTTTTCAAATATTTCGCAAAGAAATAAAAACTCAATTTGGATGTTCCATTAAAGTTTTACGTTCTGACAATGCCAAAGAATATTCCTCGGACCCTTTTGAGATTTATTTTCATGCTAAAGGCATCATTCATCAATCATCTTGTACTTATACTCCTCAACAAAATGGAGTAGCTGAACGTAAAAATCGTCATCTCCTGGAAGTACGTCGTGCCCTTTTATTCCATATGTATGTTCCCAAACGTTTTTGGAGTGATGCTGTTCTTACGGCCTGTCATCTTCTTAATCGGATGCCTTCGTCGGTGTTACAAGGGAAATATCCTCATTCTGTTCTATTTCCCAACTCCCCATCATTTAATCTTACTCCTCGGGTCTTTGGATGTGTGTGTTATGTCCATAACCTTGGGCCCGGTCTTGACAAACTCGACCCTCGTGTAACTAAGTGTGTTTTTCTTGGGTATTCTCGCACTCAGAAGGGTTACATTTTCAGCGATATTTCACTAGTGCTGATGTCTCATTTTCTGAGTCACTCCTATATTTTTCTGATTCTACTACCTCTCTCGATATTACTCTTGAGCCACCTATGCCAACTGTTCCCTCTCTATTTCCTGCTCCCACACCTCCTCGCTCCGTTGTCCCCTTGCAGGTTTATACTCGACGACCTCGACCGCCTACTTCGTTCCCTCCATCTCCTTCAGAGTCTTCGGATCCGACGCCATCTACTTTACCTAATGATTTACCTATTGCTCTCCGTAAGGGTACTCGGTCGTGTGTTATTGCACATCCCATTTCTAACTTTGTCTCCTACCATAATGTTTCATCCTCTTTATCTTGTTTTTTTATCCAAAATGTCTGCTACTTTTGTTCCCAAGACTTTGCAAGATGCTCTTTCTCATTCGGATTGACGCAAAGCCATGGTAGATGAAATGGATGCCCTTCACCATAATCGGACTTTGGATCTTGTTCCCTTACCTCCGGGCTCTAAAACGGTTGGTTGTAAGTGGGTCTACACTGTTAAATACCTTCACGATGGGTCTATTGAGCGGTTGAAGGCTCGTCTGGTGGCAAAAGAGTACACTCAGACTTATGGTATTGACTACGATGAGACCTTTTCTCCTATTGCTAAGATTTCTTCTATTCGGGTACTTATTTCCATTGCTGCCAATTGTAACTGGCCGTTGTTTCAATTGGATGTCAGGAATGCCTTCTTGCATGGCGACTTAGTTGAAAAAGTTTATATGGAGCAACCACATGGGTTTGTTGCTCAGGGGGAGTATCGTCACACTGTTTATCGCCTTCAAAAGGCCCTGTATGGATTGAAACAATCTCCACAGGCTTAGTTTGGAAAATTCTCTGAGGCGGCATTAGAATTTGGTCTTAATAGATTCTAGACCGATCATTCGGTATTTCACCAGCGCACTAAAGCTGGCTTCTTTTTTCTTGTGGTGTATGTAGATGATATTGTGATCACGGGTGATGATTCTGAAGGCATTGCTAAGTTGAAGTTGTTTTTGCAAAATCGATTCCACACTAAAACTTAGGTATTTCTTGGGTATTGAAGTTGCTAGATCCAAGAAGGGTATAAGTTTATCTCAACGCAAATATGTGTTGGACTTATTAGAAGAAACAGGTATGTTGGGTGGTCGTCCAGTTGATGCTCCTATGGATTCAAATACAAAACTTGTGTCTGATGAGGGTGATCTATTTAATGACCCGGGCAGATTTCGTCGCCTTGTTGGGAAATTAATTTATCTCACTATTACTCGACCTAATATTTCATATGCAGTTAGTGTTGTAAGTCAGTTCATGGGAGCTCCTAGAATGCCATATTGGATTGTTGTTCTTCGGATTATCCGATATCTCAAGCAAGCTCCAGGTTTTGGGTTACTAGGTCATCTCAAGGTGGAAGGTTTTACAGATACTGATTGGGCTGGTTCTCCTTCAGACAAGAGATCTACTATAGGCTACTGCACATTTGTAAGAGGAAATCTTGTTACATGGAAAAGTAAAAAGCAAACGGTGGTAGCTTGATCTAGTGCTGAAGCTGAGTACAGGGCAATGACCCATACCACTAGTGAGTTGACATGGATACAACATTTTCTAAAAGAACTTGGGTTGACAGTTGAAACTCCTACTCCATTGTTCTGTGAGAATCAAGCAATTGTTCACATTGCATCAAATCCTGTGTTTCATGAGAGGACCAAACATATTGAAGTTGATTGTCACTTCATTCAAGAAAAAATATTAAGTGGGAGCATCTCTACTTCATTTGTGAAGTTTGAAGATCAATTAGCGGATATGTTTACCAAAGCATTGGGTCATAATCAGTTAAGGACTATCTGTTCCAAGCTGGGATTATTTGATATATACTCTCCAACTTGAGGGGGAGTGTTAGAATGTTTTGGGTCATTATGTAATTACATATAGTTGGTAGGGTCATTGTGTAATTAGATGAGTCTTGTATCTTTATATAAGCCACTGTAGGCTTAGGGTTTAATACATATGAGAAATACATTTCAGTAGCCACCATGATCTCTCTCTCTCTCTCTCATCAGTTTGAACACATCCTTATTTGCATATCACCCTTCCAATTGGAAATGTTCACCCTTCCATTGGGATCGGCCACGATAACCTTTCCAACTGGAAATGGCTGATAAGTTATGGTGTAAACAGAACCTTTTACCATAATTCATTGTAGTGCAATCCTAATGTCTAGATAAGTCCAAATCAAACCATTTTCAACTTAGATCCTAAGGTTTGTAAGGTTCTTCTTACCTTTGTCTATTATGATTGACTGTCATGGAGGAAGGATATTCAAAAGTTGCTTCATTCTTCATCATTCCGACTTCAATGCGAAACTTGGCTAAGTCTCCAGCTCAAACTTACGCAAACATTTTGTTCACACCCTAGCACTCAACTGGAACAGAATGCTATATTTTACAAGGGCATTTTACTTGGAATTTCTGCTTGGTATGGAATCTTTATGTACTTCAACTCATCAATGTATGCACATGCGCATGCATATTTATGTGAAAATGTTTTAGATAATCTTTACTTTTCACTTGATAGGAGGTCCTTCCGTCCAATTTTTTTGAAAATATATAATTTGAATGACTTTTGATATACAGAATTTTGTCACTCTACATGCCATTAGGAATTAGCATCTTCCAATTTATATGGGTATATATTTTTGTGAGAATGTTTCGATCTGTGCATGCTAGGACAAAATTTCACCCTTCCAGTCTTACTGAAATTTGGACACTTGCATGTGCAACCTTGTACAAAATACGTACTTCTCAGTTGGAAGATACACCCATTAAATATCTTTGGGATTTGCTGAGAAGTTGTAGACCAAGAAGAGAACCCCCAACCTTGTTACGGCTACTTCTAATCAACATGTGACAAGATTTCTAGTTGTCTCTTATTTTAATACAATTCACATCTTCTCAACAATTAAACATACCATTATGAAAATCTCTTCACATGAATTTTTTTTTTTAAAAAAAATATTCCATGTAGGATTTTGTTTTTCTTAAATAGTGTTACTTGACAGCAGCTCCTGTATGAGTGTTACCCTCCTCTACCAATATTTTGTTAATCTGTTCAACATAGCTGCTTTTAATTTGTTTAACTCTAATTGTAACTGACTAATTCATTGTGATGTGTAGACTTTCATGTTTCAATCTGTTATTTCTTATTATTTTGTGGGAGAGAGCAAGAGGTGGATGGGTAGGACACTATATGTTTCCAGATCTGTGGTCATTATACATTTGGAAAACACTCTTGCTTCCAGCCCATTCTTTTGTTGAAATCATTTACGTGGAAAATAATGGATACTGATAATGAGACTGGTTCTAAATTGTGACACAGTTATTGCAACCCATTCTTTTGTTGTCGTATAAACTTTAGAATCATTCAAATATTAGATGATATAGCATTGTAGAAGAGACTGCTGTTGAACAGATTGATTGATCAAAATTCTCATGGACTGAAAATCGGCTAGTTTTGGAGATGGTCATTGCATGACTATATTGATGAAATAAAATTAAAAGATATTGTTCCAACATAGGCTTGTACGGGTATATATTTCTACTAATTCTTACTAATGACATTATATACTTCAGTGAGCCTGTATATTGTCATATCGTTTGAAGTACTGGTTTTGGGTTTTATAGGAAACTGAGATTGAAGAACTGAAACGTAAAGTGGCTGAACTAACTGAATCAAAAGGGCAGCTAGAACTTCGGAATCAGAAACTGGCAGAGGAGAGTTCATACGCCAAAGGTTTAGCCTCAGCTGCTGCAGTTGAGTTAAAAGCGTTGTCAGAAGAAGTTGCCAAGCTCATGAACAAAAACGAAAGACTAGCTGCCGAGCTGACAGCACAAAAGAATTCTCTGACCCAGCGTAGAACTACTGTGTCAACCCGGAATGGGCGTAGAGATGTTAACATCAAACGGGATGACCAAGGTGGATTGCCTTTGGATATCAGGAGAGAACTAGTCATGAGTCGGGAGAGAGAGCATTCATATGAAGCTGCTCTGGCGGAAAAGGATCAAAAGGAGGCCGAGCTACAAAGGAAGGTAGAAGAATCCAAAGAAAGAGAGGCATATCTAGAAAACGAACTTGCTGATATGTGGGGTCTTGTGGCAAAGCTAAAAAAATCTAATGGAGGTGAAGCTGATGTTCCTGAGTCGACTAGGGGAGTTGATGGTTTTGAGATTTGGAATAATCCAGTGCTGAGAAAGGCCTATAACTAAAACTGATAAAAGTATATTTTTTGTTTTTCTTGTGTATAGGGAGGGAGTGGGATTTGGGGTTGGCTTTGTATATTGTGAAAGGCATTTTTTCTCTTTTCCGTTGATTCCTCTGCCAATTATGTAAATCAAGCTAATTTTTGCTTTGTTATTGTATTTTGGGGCATTAATTTCAATGCAAAAACCCTTGTCTACAAGACCAGGGCCCAGTTGTGTTTTTTCTGGGAAAAATAAACAAGAAATGAGGGAATATGGATATTTAACACACAATCATCAACAAAATAGCTTCAAGCGTATTGACATGGATTTGAATTTTAACACAATCACGAAGCCACTGTGTGCAAAATTATACCAGATGTCAGGTCTTTCCTCCGAGTGTCCATAAGCAAAGGCCACCTTTCACTACATTTATAGGGATGGGTTCTTAGTAATTTGAGTACTAAATGGACTGACAATTATTTTCTATTTCTTTTCTCTTCCTTACGGAAAAAGGGTAAATAGAATAAAGACTAAGAAAAAGAGTGTACCGTGTATGAAAATCAATTTGGATTTATACCGGGAAGATCCACTATAGAGGCCATTTACCTCGATTAGTGGAGTAGTGTAAAAGAATCTACTTATGATTTTTATAGACTTGGGCCTTGTTTGGGGAGCTTCTTAGGGCACGGGCTTCCAATCCCAGGAAGCCCTTCCCAAAAAAATGGGAGTGTTTGGTGAAACAGTAAAAAAAAAAAATACTCCAAATGATTGCAGAATTACACCAGGGGTCAAAGACTAGAGTTTGTAGAACTTATTCAGGATATCTACAAGGAGTTTAAGACTAGCGTTTGTACTCTATGCAGAGAGACACCTAATTTCTCTATAAGAGTCGAATTACGCCAAGGATCAAAGCTAAGTTCATATTTATTTACAATAATCATGGATGAAATAACAAAAGACTTGCAAGGAGTCCTTCCGTGGACACGTTATTTACCGATGAGTACTGTTGGATAGCTCTAAGGAAGTCTTAGTAATGAAATTAATTAAAAGCATGGAGAATGACTCTAAAATCAAAAAGGCTTAAAAATTGGTACTTCTAACGGAATACATGGAATGTAAATTTAAGTGATGATAATATAGCAAAAAAAAAATTCAAGACCAAAATATTAATACAAAGTAATTACTTTCGGTCTTAGGATCAATGATACAAAAACAGATCCATGAAGTTATAAATAATAGAATTGGATTAGGTTGGACAAAGTGGAATAATACTAGTGGGGCATTATATGATAAAAGAATTAAAGGAGAAAATATATAGAATAATAATAAGACCGGCTATTTTATATGGAGCGAAATATTTGACGACTAAATGAAATATGAACAATATATGCATACATGTGGCGAAAACGCAGGTGTTCATATAGATATTAGGCATATCTAGGAAAGATAGGAAAAATAATTAAAGGATTAAGGAGAAATTAGGTGCATACCTACTTAGTGAGACAATAAGTGTCACGCTCCAAAAATTCTAACACAAAAATCTTCGTCTTATACTAAAATCTGGTACGCGACTCACATCGTACATCCACCAAAATTCATGATTGAAACAGTAAGAAAACATTTTATTTAAAAAAATCTAACAATCCAAAGGAGATTTATTACATCCACCAATGTACTAAGTGAATCTTATTACAAAATATTTGCTAAGAAACAATAATAAAATCAAAATGTGGAAAATATGAAATATCTCCGTCTCCCATTAAGCCTCCTTTGCAAGCTAAATCCATGTGCACCTGAAAGTGATAAAGGGGTGAGCTCACAAGCTCAGCAAAAAATTGCTAAACACTATCATCGTTTAGCAAGTCAATCCTTACTTATAATCCGTATATAAACACATATATAAGTGACTACGAAATATCCACTAATCATCGTCGTTTTATAACATTAACTCAAACTATGAGCTTGTAACCCATCTAGTATTTAAATTACTAAAATTCCCACTTACCTCACATGGGCCCCTGGCTCCCCTCGACCAATTGGCGTTCTAATGCCAATACCTCACATAAGCCCCTAACTCCACTTCGAATAAATGGTGTGAATTGCATAGTCCCTGACTACCAAATACACACATGTGGCTGGATTGTACGTCTACTCACGTCTACTCACCCAGATGGCCCCTGACCACGTCCACATACTAAGGGCACCTTTAGCCCAATGGCCATATCAAAAGAGTAATTTAACTCCTGTAGACAGTCCCTGACTGCACTCAACAAACTCATCATTGTATAATTCCCAGACTACTGCTCCAACTAGTTTAATCACATCAATTAAACACTAAATATGTTTAAATAATTTCTACTCATAATATCATGAGTTTATCAACCACCTTAATTAATAATTAATTATTTATTTATTAATTATTAACATACCAGTACCAACTTAATAGTCCTAATTATAAAAAATTGTAAACTTATATTCTAAATTTCAACCTCAATATCACTCCAATTGTTCTGCCATTAATTGTATATAATACTCCATAAATAAACAACAAAAACCAACTCCACGAATCCCACTCCACCATAACAACAACTGTAACAACATTTTTCGTATTGTTTTGTATTACCTTGCTGTTACTAGTCGATTTCATTGTTCTGGATCTTGTTCGTATTTCCAAAGAAGTCCCTACTTTGTAAGCCAGTTCTTCTGTTTTGATTTATGATTTCAGTCACCCTAGCCACAATTGCATCTGATTACCTAATAAACACTCTCACGCAGCCAAAGCCAAAGAATTGGATTTTTGCTAAATTTTTCTAGGTCCCGCCACATCATCTTTATTCCAATTTTCTTTTCTTCACCTTCCAGGCTTCTACAGATTCCTTGCCTTATTTTTCATATTCCTTTACTAAATTAACACTAAAAACAAAACTATCATTAACTCCAATTACCAATTTTCTTTTATATAACCCCACAATCAATCGGTATAAATCTATGCTAATCTGCAACTCCAATTAAACAGAAAGAAATAATGAAATAAATATAATTTCTAATCACTCAATAACTCCTTGAATAATCTCCATATCTATCATGAGTTCTACAATTAAATCATATTTAATAATCTAACCATTAAAACATAAATAAATACAAAGTTACAAGCAAGAATTAACTTGCGTTCAAATTCACTATTCGCTTGATCAGATTATGACTTTGCGATCTCAGTGAAAAGAAATCCTTAAAATAGCTTGTATATGCCGAAATGTACCGATATATGCCCAGTGGTTTAGTTCATATAGAAGTCTTTTGTTTTTAAAATACAGGATAATAGTTAATTATCTAATTGAAAGATACGTTAAAATATATCTCCTTTAATATCTCCAATAAACACATCTAATGATAAATGTTTTTTTTTTTTTTTTTTTTTTTTTTCACGGGTATTACAATAAGAGAGTAGATTTGGTTAGTATGAGCATATTCAATGCCAACCTATAAAGGAAAGGAAGATTATTTATTTATTGATTCCTTACAAAATTTTGCATTTTCATTCTTTAATCAAACTTTAATTCCCCATTGAAAGTTATCTCATGTTCCTTTCCTTTTTATGTTATATATATATATTTTTTATTCTTAAAAATTCCTCTTCTTGCACTTATGTATGATATATGTGCGTCAACCTTTCACTCTCTTCTTATTATTTAATCTATTTTTTAGTTCTTTAAATTTATTAGTGCAATTTTATGAAATTAATGTTCATTTTATTTATATATTTGAATTTTTGTATTACATTTTTTTTCCTTCAAATTATGTCGTAGTATTGGAATCTTGGTTACTGCAGTTTTATTTTTGAGTTGAAAAAAATTTTGACTCCTTAACTGTCTCTCGCAACTTGACAGGATATTTAGCTTAAGCAAACAACACTAAGAATTAATGGTGTATGCGAGTGAAAAATGGGGCTATATACTTATATCTATATTATTATTAAATGTGCAAAGACTTATATATCTATATCTATACTATTATTAAATGTGCAAAGAGTTTCAGTGTTTATATTTCAGTATTTATTTATTTATATTAAAAAAAATTTATTAATTGATATAAAAATAGTTTCTATAAAACTCTAAAAAATAATTATAGATAATTATCACAATATATCTATATCTATATTTATATCAATACTATTATTAAATGTGCACAGAGTTTCAATGTTTCCACCTTTTACTCTGAGTTTCTTAATAAATAAAAAAAAAATTTAATTAGACGAGGATATATGTAAATAAAATAAAATAAAATAAATTGCGTAAAACTCTATAAAAAAAATTACTTATTTTATTTTCAATAAAACTTTATCATATGAGACAAAGATGTTGACCCAGATTGTTGATCTTAAGGATTTCATCCAAGGACAATCTAAGTGTTTTAATGATAATAAACCATTAATGGTGTTTGAGAACTAATGTTTACATTAAGTGTTGTAAATGATTTACATTCAAAGAAGAACCTCAATGAAGATCATAAAGACCATGCCAAGTATTCCATTATTCAAGATCACATCAAGGAAATGAATAAATACAAGAAGGCTGAAAGTTGCAAGAAAAGATAGCCCAGACTACAGTGAGCAAGAAAGCAACTCAAAGAAAGGAAGAATACCTCAAAGCCTAAAAGATCATGAACAAAGCTTAAAGAAAGGGGTAGATAGCTTGGTGAGTGCTAGCTTAAATTGTAAAGTTATTTTTGAAGTAACTTCATTTGGAAGCTCATCTCTATAGGACCATGCGTATCATTATTATTCATATGTTCCTATAACTACTAGCAATAAACTTAACACTTTATTCAAATATAATTGACACATGAAGTCTTTGCTAAAGAATGAGTTAGTTCAAGCTTGCTTAAGTTTTGAAAGAACCCATCACTTGTGCTAGAAATACTAAGACCATGCACATCAATCATATGATTTATATTGATCAACTATTAAGGCATGAGAATCATTTATTACCATGACTTGGTAACGGACATTAGGATCCCAGAATGCACATCATGAAAACTGTGTTTTTGGCTAAGTGTGAAAATTGGATTTTTGTAGAAAACATTTTTCCAAGATAATTTTTTCGGGTAATTACTCCTTACACTTCAATTAGCCAAAACTAATTTTATGGGATTTTATGGCCAAGTCTACATTGGTCTACATAAGGATTCAATTTTACCAAAACTGTCGGAAATCCAAATTTGTACTAAAACTGAATTTCTACA